CTTACAGCAAACTCCAGCTCTTGGGCTTAGGTGATTCTTTTGCCTCAACCTCTTGAGTAGCTGGGACTACAGGCACCTGCCACAACGCCCGGCTATTTTTTTTGTTGCAGTTTGCCAACAAATAGTGGTGTTCAAACCTGCCAACCTTAGTATATGGGACTGGCGCCCTACTCACTGAGCCACAGGCACCGCCCTTCCCACAAACTATTGAAAGTAGGAACCATTTCTTTATTTATTCATTTTATTTATTCATTTATTTATTCACTGTTGTACCTCTAGTGCTATTTGCACTTGGTACTTGTAGAATGGACCTGGCGAGGTGGCTCATGCCTGTAATTCCAGCACTCTTGGAGGCCAAGGTCGGTGGACTACTTGAGCTCAGGAGTTGAAGAGTAGTCTGAGCAAGAGTGAGACCCCCATCTCTACTAAAAATAGAAAAACTAGCCTGGATAATGGTAAGTACCTGTGGTCCCAGCTACTTGGGAGGCTGAGCCAAAAGGATCCCTGGAGACCAAAAGTTTGAGGTTTCTGTGAGCTGTGATGATTCCAGGGCACTCTACCCAAGACGGTGGAATGAGACGCTATCTCAAAAAAAATAATAATAGGCTCGGCACTAGTAGCACAGGAATTACGGCTCCAGCCACATGCACTAAGACTAGCGGGTTCGAACCCAGCCTGGGCCAACTAAACAACAATGACAACTGCAAGAACAACAACAAAAATAGCCAGGTATTGTGGTGGGCGCCTGTAGTCCCAGCTACTGGGGAGGCTGAGGCAAAAGAATCACTTATGCCCAAAAGTTTGAGGTTGCTGTGAGCTGTGATACCCTACCGAGGGCAACATAATAAGACTGTCTCAAAAAACCAAAATTATAATAATATTTTTTATAGAGGATTAAACATCATACTTACTACAACCTCACCTCTTGCAGCGTATACTGCATGTCTCGCGTGATCATTTATGCAGTCTCAACAATTTGTAGTATCAATGAATGTTAGGAAGGCCCAATCTGGCCAGGCAAAGTGGCTCATGCCTGTAATCTAAAAATATGGGAGGCTCAGTGCCTGTGGCTCAAGTGGCTAAGGCGTCAGCCACGTACACCCAAGGTGGCAGGTTCAAATCCAGCCCAGGCTGCCAAACAACAATGATGGCTGCAACCAAAAAATAGCCGGGCGTTGTGGCAGGCGTCTGTGGTCCCAGCTACTCGGGAGGCCGAGGCA